AGGTTAGTTAAATAACGAATGCTTGCAAAAATTTTAGCAAGTGTTGCTATCATTTTTTTCTATTATAACCACAACTTGTAGTTATATTGTTACTATAATTATTTTTGTTATTAGTGTGCGTAAGAGACTATCACTGTCCATGTTTCTTGTATATGTAGAGCTTTACTAGAGTTTCTTTCTGATGTTCTTTTTTTATGAGTATGGGACTCCTTTCCGGTCCCTAATTAAAACAAGCAGAATAGATCCAAGATGTATGTGGAGGCATTCATTTGAAGGCTGAAATTACAAGAAAAATGCATACATAGTTTTGCAAAATACATAAGTATATTTTTCCGGTATTTGTCAGAAACCAGAGTAGAACAACCTTACTAGTTTTATCTTCATCTGATGTTATTCAAATTAACTTTCACAGTGAACAGACAGGGCTCCTTGAAGATGTGACAGAAATTCCGATCTGTCAGTAATAAGGTCACTTTCACTGACTATTTTTCCTTAGCTCTGGACTAAGGCACAAAGCAAAACCTGCAGCATTTTCTGGCAATACTGACATTCTTGTTGAGCTTTCTGGAAGTTGAATTACTTTGAATATTTTGGTTAATGAATTTCTGAGTCTGTATATCTGCATGTGATATGTGGGACAAGTAAGGAATGTCAGAACATTTCCTTGATGCAGAATATATATTTTTTTTATTCTTCCACTGCTGGAAACAAGTGGTTCAGTTATGAGACATCAAAATAAATAGTTTAAACAATCTCTTGCAGCTTTAAACATCTGTGAATCAAAATCTGTTTGCTCCATTATCATTTTCCTACATTTCAATTAACAAAATCTCTGAACAAGAGCCTGGGAGTAAAGGATTGTAATATGGTAGATAAACTGGAAAAGTTGAAAAAGAAAGGCTTGAGAGGGAGAAAAAAGGGAATGCTTCCATCTCTTAGGTTGTCAATGCTTTTTCTATAACTTGGTCAGATGTTCTTGCTGAGATGTCTAGTTTCATCTCAAAATGCAAATTTTCTCACATTTTGCTTGCTAAAATAATTTTATGTATTTCTGAAGCTTGAAAAGAGTGGGGAAACCTGGTTTCTTAGAAAAAGAGGATTATTATGACCAAACTGGATGGCTGTCAGTTCCCTTGCCCCTTTAATAACTTTGAAATGTGTTAGCTGATTTCAGTGTAAATGCAGCAGGTGTGTATAGACAGTAAATTCCTACAGGATTGGTGCCAGTCAGATGCTAAGTAGATGAGGGAAATCTACTGAGAGGATAGTGAAGAAAAGTGAGCTCCTGGTGATTTTTACTTAGTTTGTTCAGTGGGAATGGTCAGTTCATGGTCAAAATATAAACCTTGAGCTTAGCCACAGCAAATTGGTTTATTTCTCAGCTAAGGATGTGAAATGGAGCTAAAGATACTGGGAGTGTGGTCTCCCAGTTGTTTCTAGAACTTGGACTATTGTCAGGTAGTGTTTAATGATGGAAGTATGGTGAGGATATTGTAGCAAAAGTACTAAAGAACTAGAGAATGGCAGGTAAGTAGATTCGAAATACAAAAGCTTAGGAAAAATGAACTTCCTTGGGGGGATTCTGATGAGTTATATTTTTGCTTTATCGCTGTTAATTATCATTTTCATCTTAGGCCGTTAACTTCTGTTGTTTTTGGTCAGTGTGAATCACGTTGCTTTTATTTCCATGTTGTCTTAAGGTAATTAAAGATATTAAAATAAATCGGGAGAACTGAAGGTGTAAACGTTTGGGGATTGGTTATATAATTTATGAATGTGAATTCTCATGGCAATTTGACACCTTTTAAAATGTTTTGTGATTTTCATTGTATTACAGTAGGGCAACATTTTAATTAAGACTTCCATCGATATTTCCACTGTAAACTCCCTTGGTTTGAAGCCTCTGTGCATAGCTTCTTTAAATTTCTGTAATAATATTGTAAGCTGATGTGACCACCATTTCTAGGGCTGGAATAATTAGAGGCTGCTTTTGAAATGCTATGGTGTTTTCAAATCTGCTAGAGATGTGCTTGAAATGAAAACAATAGATGCCAGTGCTGTTCTTTTAATGCATTTTAAAGACCTATAATTTCAGATTGATATTGTATATCTGGGAAAGAAAAAAAAAAAAAAAAGATGTTGCTCCAGATTTCAGTAATATCTGAAACAATGACAGGATAATTGTTATTACAGCTTAGGCAGTGTCCAATCTATCCTTCAGAAAAAATTCATAAGAAACAGCGCTTTCTGAAGTGGCCTGTGCTCAACTTATTCCTGTAGCATGCATTTGTTTAAATTGTTTTTCCCAATGGTATTTCTCAGTCTATGCTTTTTTTTTCTTTCTTTTTTTTTTTTTTTTTAGCTGCTCCCATATGGTAAGGATTGAATCTCTGCATGTCTGCAACTGCAAATCAAGCTTTAAAAAAATACTTCAAATTCACCCAAGTAAAGCAAGGAAAATAAGATGGAAGTTGTGTTTCTCTGGCTTGAACATATTTTATTATGGCAAGAATTCTGACTTTGTTAAGATTTCTGAAGCACAGGATAGATGTTATTAAACATAAGAATGAGTTCATAAGCTTGGGAGCTCTCTGCTTGCGGACTTTGAGATGTGATTCTGGCTATATATATATTCAAGAAAGCGTGTAGCTCGGTATTTAGCTTTTGTGGAGGTTTCTTTGTATATCTTTTTTTTTAAATAAAATAATCAAAATCTGCGGAAAATAAATGTCAGAAAATTAAAGCTTCCTCATGAGATTAAACTGATTTAAAATTGTTTGAATAGGAAGGGACCCTTAAAGGACATGTGGTGGTTCAATACTCTGCAGTGAACAGGAACAGCTTCATCAGCTTCTCAGACCTTGAATGTCTCCAAGGTTGAGACATTGACCACCTGTCTGGGTAAACTGTGCCAATGTTTCACCACCCTTATTGGGGAAAAAAACAAAAACAAACAAAAAAAACCCCTTCTTATATCCAATCTAAATCTTCCTCTTTCAAGTTTGATTTCCCCTTGTTCTATCACAACAGACCCTGATAAAGTCTGTTCTTTCTTACAGACCCTGTTTAGATACCAAAAGGCTGCTCCTGGAGCCTTCTTTTCTCCAGGCTGAATGGCTCCAGCTTTCTCATTCTGTGCTCATAGGGAAAGTTTTCCACTACTCGGATATTTTTTGTGGCCCTTCTGTGAATATTCTGCAACAGATCCATGTCTCTCCTGTACCAAGGACTTTGTATCTGTGTGCAGTACTCCAAAAGATGTCTCACCTGTGTGGAGTGGAATGGCAGGATCACTTTCTTTGACCTGCTCTTTGTTTCCCAAGCTGTGTACCTTAATGTAGAGACACTTCATCTGGGCAGCTGGCCTTGTCGCCTCCTTGGAGGAGGGATGTCTGCAGGCAATGGAAAAATAACTGCTAAATGGTGTCTAGCGGCAGGCACCAAGGAACAGGACTCAACTATAACAAAAATGCATATCTGTGTGGGAAGATAACCCTGGTTTTGTATCACAAGTCAGATAGCTGTCTCCTTTATGCAATGCATACAATTCAGACTTTCATTCTCCTCTTTGGGGGGAAATTCTTCAATAGCAAGTTACCAGACTGCAAATGATTTCTAGGTCTCAATGAGTTACACTTCCACTTGCTTAGAATTAGAGGGAAGGTTCTTACTCCCTTTTCTCTTGTTTCTCCAATTTCAAAGTTTGGATATGTCTTTAAAGAAGATATTTACGTGACTGTTTCAGTGCCTTTATTTGCTAAATTACCAACTTTACTAAAATCCACATCCTGGAAACATACAAATAGAATCTATTCTGTCCTGAATGATTTTTAAACATTTATTTGAAATTTTGGGGATTTATTTTCCTTGCATATGACAGTGCTATCAATATGCAGCTTTTGTAAGGTGAAAAGATACTGCAGGCATTGTATAGAGAAAAAATTGCTGCATACTTTGTAATGCTTCATTTCTACCTGTATACAAAGAATCTAACTACAGGAAGCAACATTTTGGTATCATTTTTTAGGAGGAGATGTCCAAAGAAAAAAATCATTTATCTTTTCAATCTTTCTCTCCCTCTTTCTCTCTCTCTCTCTCTCATTTGTTTTCCATTTTGGTTTAGTTTTCCATTCATCATGTGCCACTGGTGCATATTGTATTAGGGTATTAGATCAAACTGTCAAAAAGCTGACAGGTTTTTTTTTTTCCTAAGCATATGCATTTTTGGAAGAGTAATTAATTCAGCCAACTGGAAGTAAGTAATTAGTGTCTTTTTTTCTTGTGCTTGATGCAGGTTTTGATATGAAATATTTTTAGAAGGTTGAAGATTTAACATTTAAAAAGCCCTTATTTTCAGATAACTTGTTCACAGAAGAACATTAAAAAATGATCGCAGAAAATGTTAACTCATTTGATGCTGAACATGATTTTAGAGTGAGAAATACTTAAGTGGTTGCTGACCTTAAAAAAGAGCCTGCAGAGTATTGGCATCTGTCTGAGTACTGTCTGCAAAAGTGCTTTGAATACTCAAGGTTTTGCAGTTCATAACTGCAGCCATCCTTTGTTACTATGTGTGGGATTTGTATGTTCCATTCTTGAAATACCATATGTCTTAAGTGATATGTGTCATTATAGATAAGGTACATGAAAACAGTTGTTGTAGTCTCATATCCGTAGCTGAAATTTGCTTAATGTTTCAAGTTATTCCAATAGGACATATGAAAGTTATATGACAGTGACACATGGAGATTGTATTGCTTAAATCTTTTATGTATTCAGAAAATCCAATACAAAAATACTGTAAGACTTTTCTGAAATGATACAACTTGCTCATCTGATGATGATTTTCCTGGAGAAATTATTTGCAGCAAGTAGTTGTCAAAGCTGAATAATATGTATATCTGTAAAAGCAGGACTTACCCAAACAATGACCTTAAAGCTGTGGAAATTAATTTCTATTTCATGGCTGAGCTTTGCAAATGTGTTGTGTTCTATTGTAGGATCTGACTGCCAACTTAAGAACTTGAAAACAACAGAACAACCGGTCCTTTAGATCTATTATGAGGAAAATCCAAGTTTGGATCCTGGAAAGTAGGTAAGTGCAATTTAAAATCATTAAACTCTTTTGATTTTTCAAATTTTTTTTTTTTTTTTTTTTTGAATAAGCCTGTGATAATGTAAAGCTAAAGTGGTTTGCGAGCTTTGAGCATGTGTTTGTCAGCTGTTTACTGTTCCTCTCAATTGAATCAAAGTGAAAATTCAGATTGTGACTGAGGAGCAGTGAGAAAATAGAATAAAAAGCAGAATGTTCATGTACTGAAAGTGTGGTGGAAATATGAGCACAAGGAGTTGATGCTGACAGGACAACATACGAATATATCAAGTATAGTTATACGGCATGAGCTGAACCTGCATTGATCTTAAGAATGTATGTGAAAGTCAGAAACTACATAAAATCATTGGCTTGTCTGAAATGAGGGCTAAATATATGACATAGGATGATGGCTGGCAGTAAGATGACTAGTGTGCTACAGAAGGGCCTGATTAACTGTGTTTAGAAGAGGATCTGAGGCTTGGTTTCAGGCTGCTGGATCACTTAACTCCCGCTGTGGTGTGTTTGCCAATACCTAGCAATCTTGAGCTTCCCATCTGGAGGCTTATTCAAGCTGTGCACAAATCTGTACTTATGAGAGAATGTGATCCCTCGTTTGGTATTACAATGGAAACATTAGAAACAGTCCCTGTGTCATTTAATGAGTTCTTAGTCTGGAGTGCTTATAATGGGGAAGGTTACCAGGAATGTCTAGAGCATCTATAGTACAGCTAGTTCAAGTAGTGTTGTGGAGCATATAGATCCTTTTATTTTTCCTTAAATATTTCCTTCTGGAGAATATATCTTCCATTCTGACCTACTGCTTTGTTATGAGCCTTTAACTTATTGTTTATACTTGAACTTGCACTTGAACTTCAATTTATATATGCTGGCTATGAAAAGGAATTGCAGCAATATGTTTGTGTTGCTTAGTTCTTCTCACCAGCCAGCAAAACAGTACATAATCTTCAGGAGGGGAAACCCAAGAAAGTTTGAATTTTCTTGGTTGTGTTGGTTAACGTTGGTCACATTGTCAGTTTTTCTAGCACTCTCTGTAACTAAGTTGTGGTTTCAGTGTATCCAGTATCAATGGAAGAACAAGACCCGAGTCCTCTGCTTCATGGTCTTTTTACCAGATAAATCAGGCAGACATGTCTGTTGTAAATGTGATGAGTGAATTTCACCTTTTATGCTGTCAGGTTTCACCTGTGATGTGGCTGTTTTTATACAGTAAAGGGGATAAATAAACTTCAAGAAGGTGAAGAAGAGTCATCATGATACTGGGGTGGAGAGCTTGTGGATCCAATAAGATCTGTGACTTCATTTGACATGACTGGAAGATACTTTATTTTTAATAGCACAGCCACAGCAGCAAAATAAGGCAAGGCTCTAACAGATGTTTTCTTTTATTGTTAGATCTTCCATTACTTCTAGCCTTGTGGTATGTCCCGTATCATATGATGATAGTCCCAAAGCTCAAAGGCTTTCTACTTCCTTCACAGTACTTACTGAAAGGAAGGAAATTTGTATTTGGTGTTAATCTGTAACCTGCTGGAAGGATTTAAAATAACATTTGATGAGGGAAAATGAGTAAATAAAATTCTTGCCTTATTCTTTGTCTGAACGAGGGATAGAAGTTACATAAAGCTTTTAATGGACCAGCTTTACCCTGAACACAGACAAATAGAGTGAAACAACAATGGAGATCATCTTGGGGGAGGTCATAGCATATGTAGGTGGGGTAGCCAGGGGATCAGGCCTAGCCAGCATGGGTTCATGAAATGCAATTCCTGCTTGATCAACCTGATCTCCTGTGATTGTGTGACCCGCCTTGATGGTTGAGGGAAATGCTGTTGACATAGTCTTCTTAGACTTCAGCAAAGCCTTTGATTCTGTCTTCTGCAGTACTCTCCTGGGCAAGCTGGTGGTCTGTTTTTTGGACAAGTACACTCTTTGCTGGGTAAGCAACTGGCTGGAGGGCTGGACCCAAAGAGTGGTGGTGGGTAGAGTTAAAACCAGCTGGTGTCCGGTTATGAGTGATGTTCCCCAGGGGTTGATATTAGGACCTGTCCTGTTCAGTATCTTTGTTGGTTATCTGGATGAGGGCATTGAGTGCACCCTTAGTTTGCAAATGACACCAAGTTTGCAGGAAGTGTCTGCCTGGGAGTAGGAAAGCTCTACAGGGTGATCTGGATAGTTGGCTGGATAGTTGGTCTAAGGCCAGTGGGATAAGTTTCAACAAGACCAAGTGCTAGGTCCTGCATTTTGGCCACAACAACCCCAGGCAATGTTACAGGCTTGGGGCAGTGACTGGAAGACTGCAGTGAGTAAAGGGACCTGGGGAACTGGTCAATGTTTGGCTGTACGTGAGCCAGCAGTGTGGACTTGGATGATCTTACAGGTCTTTTCGTTGGTGATTCTACGATTTTCCAAAACTATGGACTTCCACTACTCAATGTGTGAAATTCTCATCTAGCAGAGCTCAGGGAATCTTGAACTCTGTATTACTAGCCCTGGAAATGTACAAATCCATCTGTACAAATCAAGCTGGTCTTAGTAGAGGTCTGAGGAAAAACTTCAAAGAAGAAAATGTCAAATATAGCGATGGTGGTTTGTTTGTCTGCTTTATAAAGAGGTGAAGTGAGTGTAACACTTGGATTTCAAAGGGCTGCATCTCCTGTTTGCCTACTTTCCAAGGAATGGATGAGCTGTAAAGCTTCCTGTAAAACAAGGAGTTAATCCAAGACTGCATCCAGTTGGCCTCTTTTCATTGTATGAGGAGGCATATTATAGATTAAAAAATTAAGCATAGATGTATGCACGTGTATGTGTATCTTCATGCCTGTGTATCAGTTAAGCATGATATGTGGTAATACATCTGCTGTATTCTTCCCATATTCTTTATCTTATCATTGTCTTGAATGCCACAGATGTAACACTGACCTTGCTGCCTCTGATTCTCGAAACTTCTCTCCCTAGTTGTTCTAAGTCTCTCCACGTTAGAACTTCCTGTAATTCAAGCCAAGTACTGCAGAATTTCATGGTAAATTGTATCAGAGAAGTCAAGCTCTTCTGCAACTTTTTCACTAGAAAGCTCTCATGAAAGCAACTGTTAGCAAGTTTGGATGTATCTTTTCATAGTCTTTGCAATTCAGTACATGCCTTTCTAATGAGCTCTTAGTCTCTTAGTTCTTCTAGAAGTAGTTATACTTAACATGTGGTTGGGTGGGCCTGAAATTCGTTCAGCAAGGTTGGCTTTCTGGGCTACGAATGTGCGCTGCTGTCTAATGCTCAGATTTTTATCCACCAATGTCCCCAACTCTTCCTTGGGCTGCTATCAATCCTGGCATTGCCCAGCCTATATTCATGTTAGGAATGGCTCCAATCCAGATGCAGGACTTTGTATTTGGCTTTGAATTTTATTAGCTACTCAAAAACTTCATCAAATCATAAAGCAGTTAAAAAAAAAAAAAAAAAAAAATTGTGTAGTTCTAGTTGGTCTTACTATATTCTTTGCAGACTTTCTTTTTTACCTGTAATGTAGTAATTTCTGACATGGAAAGGCACAGAGAAGTGTAGCCTTTAAGAAGAGTAGCTTCCAGTCTTGTTAGACCTATAAACCACTGAAGCTTTCTCTTGTGTTCTTGTTCTTAATTGCTGGAAGGATATCAGATTCCCTGTATGCTCATTTGGACGTGTGCTTGTCTTTTGCATGTCTCCTGATCTCACATAAAGAGTTTTAAGGTTATTTCTTTCTACTTTTCACATTTTTTCTTCTCTTTTTTAAGTTAGTCTGTGTAAATCCATTAATCAACTAACTCCAAGTTCTTCTGGGCTCTTGCATGTGGGAAGGTTTTCTTTTGATGACAATTGGAGGTAATATGAATCCATGGGTCACTTACCAGCTACAGCAGCCAATTAATTATGGGCAAAAATCATCACTGAAGCAACAGCTCAGCTATTGAACTAAAGCTGCTAATCTAATTTATTCCATTTAAGAGAAGGCACAGATTTCTTCCTCCATTATCTCCCACAGACCAGAGCTCTCACCTGTGACTAGAAAAATGGCATGGAGAAGGAATAGATAGGAAGTTTTATTTTTGTATCAGCCCCTCTGGAGAAAGAGGGGAACCTGTGTTTTGTGGGATAAGAGAATCTGAGGGCAGTCAGCCATTGAAGATGTTCAAGACTCATTGCTTCATGATATAGAATATCTTTCACTGTAACTAGAGAGTGTCCTGGCCTCTCAGAGTAATGAATGCAAAACTTAAAGTAAAACTAAAACAGGACCTTTTTTCTTAGGTGAAGAACTGTTTTCAAGCTCTTGTATTATGTGAGTAGGAGCTTTGTTGCAGTTATGGGCAAGGGTTCTTCATTCAAAATACAATATTTCTTGATTTGTTGTCTCTTTTCTCTGGAAATACAACAATTCTCTCAACTGCTTTCCATCAAAAGAAATTAGGTATTACACTAAAACAGTAAATTGGCTTTTCTCTCGTGATTTTCAGGATACCTTGCAAATTCAAGTGGTTTGAATAGCTCACATAAACATGGTATTATCGTGTTCAGTTGGAGCGACACAGTCAGTAGGATTAAGCTAGATATCCAGAATAGTTCGTAGAGTGTAAACAGCTCTATCATCACCCCTTTTCTCTGGAACCTGGCCAGATTTCCTGCAGTGCTGTCTAATCGCATCTACTCTTTTAATTAACATTAGATACAGTGCTTAGGCAAACTAGAATTAAATTCCAAGTTACATGATTTCTCCTTTCTTGAATCAAGACTGCAATTTAAGAACTCTCTTTGGGCAGAAATATTTATACCTGTGAAATTATACCTACAGACTAGCTGTAAAGATATATAGAGATATACTTTTTAACTCTGTCTGAGGGTTTCTTGAGATATTATATAAGCTGAAAACTAGATATAGAGCCTGCTAAATAAAAAATATTAATTGAAAAAAAAAATTAAAAAAATGGAGTGAAACCAGCCACCCCACCTCA